CCCTTTGCCACCTTTTCTTAGAGCCAAATTAGCGTGCCGGTTAACCACACACGCTCCACTAACGTCTTAGCAAGGGTACAAAGTGTAATTCCATGGAATCGCATCAAATTCACTTTTCCTAAAGTAACTATGATTGGGAATTTTATAATAACATTTAGTTACTTTATTTATCATTATACTTTTAATGAGGAATGAGGTTGCCCTATCCTACCCGTTCGGCTAACGACCTCCACCAATCAAGGAAGCGGTGGGTGAGAGTGGACACCCATTAAACGGACATTTTATAGGCCATAACCTTATACCCCCTTATAGATCGGCTTCGTGAATGAGGCCTACTAACGGTAAGACTAGCATTTAGTTATATATATATATATATATATATATATATATATATATATATATATATATATATATAATAATTATTCTTATAATATTATAATAGTATAGGGTGAATTTTAAACTTGTAAAATTTTAGGGTTTGGAATTTAATAATTTCAAAATTAAATAATTCAAAAATTAAATTCCAAAACTTGAGGGAAAGTTTTGAAACATTTCAAAACTAACTAGATCAAAATTCAAATAAATAATTAAACAATTAATTATGGTGATTATCTAATTTTGACCTAATCCAATTTTATGCAAGATAATGATCAAATAAATTCAAATAATTAACATGTATCATATAAGGAAATAATTATTCAATTAATTTGAAAATATCTTTTATTTTGGCAAGGATAATCATCCAATATTAATAAAATTCGTATTTTATCAGTTAACAACGATTTGGTAATTATCCCACAGCAAAATAGGCATAAAATCCCGAAAATCCCTCTGTCTGACAGCCCGACTCGCCGAGTCCCCTTATGGACTCGTCGAGTTCATCCTACTCGTCGAGCCCACTTTGGGACTCGCCGAGTCTGTCAGTCAGAGGACCAAAAACTCAATTTTTCAAGCATGAATGAAACACAAACCATCAAATACAACAGAAGCCAATCAAGGCTTTGATACCACTGATGGGTTTTACACAAAACACAATCCTATGTGCTCATACAAAAACCCTAATGCTTGGATCTAGGCTTCTCTATTGTACATGTAATTCATTCAAGACTTGAAACCCTAATCTAGCATACATTGGAATCGAAATCTATAATGAACTAGTTTAGATGATATCTTTCAATGGTTGCAAGAATCCTTTGATCTTCAAGACGCTTAGTGTCACAAGTGTAACACCTCTAATGGCTCACAAACACCACAAGAAAGATGATGATGTTTTAGGAGAGAGGATGAGAGGCAAAAGTAGGCTCCAAGCTTCCAAGGGATCAAGTGGCCGATTTTGCTAGCCCTAGGGGTCCTTATATACTTGAGCTTCTAGAGTTTCAGTCAAAACCCTAATTGGATGACTTAGGCCCTAAGTAACTTGAGAACCTTCTGGAATAAGGCCTCATTGGACGAATTTAAAATGGACTCCTCCTTAAATTCGTCCATGCCCTAATCCATAAGGATTCTCAGCCCAATATCAACTATCACACAATTGACAGTTCCAGTCCCTTTTAATTAATTAATGTCTTTTAGCCACATAATTAATTCTTAATTAAATCTCGTCTAATATTAATTAAACTATATGATTTCTATTTTAATATATTATTCATAAAATATATTAATAAACCATAATAACCTCTCTCTCTCTCTCTATAATCATCTTGTCAAGTTGCTTTGGTGAAGGCAACCCAAAAGGACCATGCACAACCGGGTCAAGTACATACCAAATATAGTTACTGGCTTAGACACTAATCCAACAAGTAAAGGGGTTATAGGAAGTAAAATATGATAAAGGATTATAGTCAGCGTGGTATTATTATACTACTAGGGATTAGTCATCTAGTAGGGTATAAAGGACGACTATAGACTATTCTAGATAATTCTGGTCAAACATGGACAGGCTTGCAGACCTGTAGATGTTTTCAAGTCAAACATAGACAAAATTGTAAACCTATAATGTTTACAGGTCATATATGAACAAGTTTTCAACCTATAGGTGTCAATCAGTCCTACATGGTCAGGTCTTCGACATGTAGATGTTAAAATGACCATTCAGAGACAGGTCTTCGACCTATAGATATTACTGAACTATACATGAGCATGTCCTCAACCTGTAGATGTTATGGAACCACATAGAGACAGAACTACAACCTATAGGTATGAATGGATTATTCACGTGGGTACTTTGTTCACCCCATGGTTATCTTAGTAGTACATATTGCTAAGGAACCCCCGAAGCAACATTGTTCACTTAGAGATCCTTTATGATAGATCCCTTGAGATCATTGGCTTAGGATCAGGTAGTGAGAACAACGAGAATGGGTAATCAGGTCAATTGTTTGTTATATAATTAAACAAAATTTAATTATATTATCATGGGTTGAAAACCCTATGTACTCCCCATGTCTCCTAACCTGACCTACTCAATTTATTTATATCACAGGTAGCAATACGAAGATATTTGGATAATAGTGTAATTATTTGCTAAAGGATTAAATGAGTTTGTAGGCCACTAGTGTAATTACTGTAAGGCCTGTCAAAGTTTATGCTTATGTTTCTGTATCAGTTATGACATCCCAAGTTTTGTAAATAGAATCCATTTATTCGAAAATGCTTCAAATAATGTTTCAGAACAAAATCGGCACAAACAAAAGAATACTCTGTTTTAAAATAATCATATATAAAATGGTCTTTTCTGGCCGTAAAAACTGGGGATGTCACACTTACCGACCAGATTAAGAGTTTCACTGAGTTTGTAATAGCACCATATCACAACTCTTATAAAGGGCCTAACAACCCCATATAATATGCTACGCAAATATGATTACGTAATAACAAAACGAAAGGATACATTTAACCCGCTCAGTGGGTCGTATCCTCGTAAAATGGCCTTAAGATCTTCGTCTATAAACTTTAGTTGTCCCTTACCGAATCTGGTTCCGAAATCCAAAAAGAAACATCAAAGAAATGCTTCATTCTATTTATATTAGGCTAAACCATGCGACAATGCGCCGCATCCAGGTGTTTCATATGGAGTCTTCCACATGTCCATATGTGTCGAATACCAAGCCGTGTATCACCACTTCGCACAGTTTCAACCTTCAAGTGAGATGTAACCTTTGTGTGTGATTGTAATTGTTTTTGGAAGTTTAATAAAATCCTCTCTCTCACGTTTTCCTGTGGACTTAGGTCAATTCAATTGAACCAAATTAAATACCGTGTTTAGTTTTTCTATTTCAGTTTTTCAGAAGTTCTTTTCTGCAATTGTCATCGAAGTTTGTTTATCATTTGTCTGAAGTGCTTAACGTGTTTTGTTGTTTTCCCAACAAACCGGTATCAGAGCTATGGCTGAAGATGGGAGAGTTAAGATCAATAAATTTGATGGTCATAATTTCGAATTCTGGAGAATGCAAATTGAAGACTACCTGTACCAAAAGAAATCACATGAACCATTTTCTGAAAATAAACATGAAGAAATGGCAGTAGGATTGTGATCTATTAAATTGGCAGACACTTGGTGTGGTAAGGTTATCCTTGCAAAGAATGTAACTTATAACATTGTCAATGCGAAAACTACTAATTGGTTGATCAATGCATTATCTGACATGTATGAAAAAACTTTAGCACCAAACAAGGTCCACTTGATTTGACTTTTGGTAAATCTGAAGATGAAGGAAGGTGGCTCTATGACTGATCATGTAAATGACTTCAATTCAAACATCTCAAGGTTGATTTCGGTTGATATTGGTTTTGAGGATGATGTCATGGAATTGTTACTATAATCATATTTGACAAATAGTTGGTCTTGTATTGTGACAACAGTTAGCAGCTCTAACGGAGATGCTAAGCTGACATTCGAAGACATTTGTGATTTAATCTATGGTGAGGATGTGCCCAGATAGAGTGCCAAAGAGCTTTTAATAATCTTATGAGTACTAAAGATAGAAGAAAGGTGTCCAACAAAGGGGGTGTAGGTAGTGGAAGATCGAAGTTGAGAAGGATATGTGGACAAAGTAACAAGAAGGATGTCACCTGTTGGAACTATAAAGAGAGTGACCTTGTAAAAAATCAGTGCCCAAAGGTCATGATAGATAAAGGCTAGAAGCAGATGAATATGACATCAGATTTTGAAGGGGACGCGCCCACTTGTTTAGTTGAAAACTCAATAGAATCAGGGGTCTTGGATTCTAGTGCGTCATTTCACGGTAGTCATTCCAAAGATGTAATGTAGAACTTTAGGCATTAAAAAGGAAATGTCAGATTGGAAGATAACAAGTGTATGGATAACATGGGTGTTGGAGATGTGGTTCTCAAGACAACTCTAGGTATCAATTGGACTTTGAAGAATATCAAGTTCATTCTAGAGATGAAGAAGATTTTGATATTGGTTGAGCAACTTGATAATAAAGGTCATCATGTTACATTTGGTGATCATAAGTGGAAAGTGAAGAAGGGAACCTTGATCTTTTCTAAGGGTCAGAAACGGGGTGCATTATATATACCGGAGGTTTTCTAAAAGGTGAAGCATACATCATTTCTAAGGGTCAGAAAACGGGTTGGAAAAATCGAACTCATGCCATCACTTGTCGTCTTCTTCAACTGTAAAAAAAAAAAAAGTTAGTTTTTAGAGAGGAAAAGAATGGATGCAAATGAGCAATGTTGTTTTTTACCTTTATTGCCGGTTAGTCATTCCTAAATGAGATAGAGGTGATTTAGCTTCCTGGTAAGCAAACGAAACGACCTAATAAATGTTACTAGTTGCAAGGTGTGTTATTGGCTTACTTGAAGAAAATGACCGCATTATTATTTTTACCGGTGATTTATGTTTTTTTCCTAAACAAATTTTAGTTTGACATTTGCTCGTAAATTAAGATAAAATAATAAAAGAGATATCCCATAATATTTTTATTTTATGCATTATTGTCGTTAACAAAACATAAGATGACACTCAAAGATCGAACCCTAACGGACTCGAAGGAATGAAAGCTCTCCGTCTTCTGTTTACAAACATCAAGAAACACTCTCCCGCCAAGAAATGTTCCTTTACTCCGCTCTTCACCGACGAAACCCAGTTCATCTCTCTAATCCATGCCTCCAAGACCATCAAACACCTCCAACAAATCCACGCCCAAATCATTCTCCATCAACAGTTCTCAAACACCCGACTCGTTACCCAGCTAATTTCTTCCTCGTCTTTTAAAAACAACTTCCTCAATTACGCCCTTTCAATCTTCCGCCACTCAAAAACCCCTAACTTGTTTCTTTTCAACTCATTAATCCGCGCACTTGCTGATAATTCTTACTATATGAGCTCAATCTCTTACTTTCTTGTCATGTTAAGGTCGAATATTCGGCCCAACAGCTTAACTTTCCCATTTGTTTTGAAATCAACCTCAGCGTTACAAGAGGGTTGGCTTGGTATGGAGATTCATACCGAGATTTTGAAGTTAGGTTTATTGTATGATCGGTTTGTTTTACTTCATTTGGTGGATATGTATGCCAAAGTTGGTTTATTGGATTGTGCATCACAACTGTTCGATGAAAGTTCTCAATGGGGGGACGATGCAAGAAGTACATTGGTATGGAATGTGTTGATCAATGGGTTTTGTAAAGTAGGAAATTGGGGTAAGGCTCTGGAATTGTTTGAGGAAATGCCAGAAAAATATGGTTCAACTTGGAGTAGTTTGATTGACGGATTAATGAAAGCTGGAGAGATCAACAGAGCAATGGAGCTTTGGCATTCCATGGAGGAAAAAGATGTGGTTTCTTGGACTACAATGATAGATGGGTTTTCACAAAATGAGCAACACGAAAAGGCAATATCAATGTTTTTTGAAATGTTGGAGGAAGGTGGGAAACCTAATGATCACACCATTGTTTGTGTACTTTTAGCTTGTGCAAAGGCAGGAGCTCTTGACACAGGAGTTAGAATACATGACTACATTTTGAACAATGGGTTCACTATAAAGAGAGGAATCACAACTGCTTTAGTAGACATGTATTCAAAATGTGGATCTATTGAGAATGCAAGCTGTGTGTTTGATAAAACAGAAGACAAAGACCTTCATACTTGGACTGTTATGATATGGGGTTGTGCCATTAATGGATATCTTCACAAGGCTCTTGAGTTTTTCAACAAAATGAAGTCAACAGGTTCAAGATTTCTGTTCCATTTACAATTCTTTCTTTGTATTATTCTATTAAGAGCAAATTGTATTCTAAATTCTAATAACCATTTTTTTATCCAGGAATAAAGCCAGATGGGGTTGTTTTTCTTGCTATCCTAACAGCATGTTCCCATGCTGGAAATGTAGAAAAGGGTCTTGATTTTTATAACAAAATGAAAAAAGACTATTCAATTCCCCCCACAATGAAACATTATGCAGTAATGGTTGATCTTTATGGAAGATCAGGTCGTTTAGATGAAGCTTTAAGATTGATAAAAAACATGGAAATAGCTCCTGATTTTGTCATATGGGGTGCACTTTTTAGCGCTTGTAGAGCTCACAAGAACATAAAAATGGCAGAATATGCATCCGAGAAGCTTCTAGAACTCGAGCCTAAACATCCCGGAAGCTATGTGTTTCTTTCAAACGTGTATGCAGGAGTGGACAGGTGGCAAGATGTGGAAAAAGTGAGATCCAAAATGAAAAACAAAGGTGTGGTTAAAGATCCAGGGTGGAGTTATATTGAAATAAAGGGAAAAGTTACTAGTTTTGTAGCGGGTGATTGTGGTCATGATCTTTCAGATGAAATTCATTTGAAATTAAATGAGATTGTGAAAAGTGCAAGAGAACATGGGTACATGCCTGAAACTGAATGGGTGCTTCATAACATTGAAGAAGAAGAAAAGGAAGATGCTTTAGGGAGTCATAGTGAGAAATTGGCATTGGCATTTGCTCTTATTTGTAGTGGTGATAATGAGGTTATTAGGATTGTGAAAAACTTGAAAATTTGTGGGGATTGTCATTCTTTGATGAAGTATGCGAGTAAAATGACGGGGAGGGGTATTGTGGTGCGTGATATTAAACGGTTTCATCATTTTAAGGATGGGAATTGTTCATGTCAAGATTATTGGTAATAATGTTAGTATCAAAGCTCATACTATTTTTGTGGTTGTGTAACTGTTTTTGCAAAAAAGGTTATTCTTCTGACAACTCTTAACTTATCAATAAGAAAATGTAAGTACATTGTTATTATATTTAAAAAGATGTAAATATGTTGCTTTTATGGGTTAGATACTGGTATATTGATATTATGAGGACAAAAATAAAGTTATATTAGTAAAAGGAGTAAAATGTATTGATCAAGTCTTAATGTCTTGTCTAAATCTTTTTGTAGGACAGCGTTTAATAGTTGTAGCGTTACTTTATTGATAAAAAAAAAAATAGGAAGATGTATGGACATAAATCAGAATAGTGTACAACTTTTGCTGTATAAAAACTAAATTATTGCTCTAAAGAATTTACTTATATCATTGTCAAATAATCAAAGCTGTAAAGTAGAAGATGCAAGGGGAAAGAGACGACATATGATTCATAAGTAGGGCCTTATTATGTTTCAAACTAATGTTCTTTCTAGTAAAATTAATGTAATTATTGATTTTTTTAAATAGCTTGATAAGAACTTGATTTATTTGCATCATTAATTACGGATTTACAATATTATATTGCCAAAAAAAATTATGATGATTATTGATAATGAATAAGTAGATTAATAAAACATTACTAGAAAAATGTATTTCGAATTTTCGATATAGTTGGAAACCAAACACGTATTAATTTACTTTTTGAGAAAATGACCTGAAAATCATTTATTATAGTATTCATGGTTGAGTCCTTTTTTTTAAAATAAATTCTACTAAATAAACATGTCGGCCAACCACGATTTTGGACCAAAACTAGTGAATGTGACCACGTTTATGTTGATTATTTGGTTTATGTGATTTGGGGTGTTTCAATTTCTATTTTCAAGGTGTTGATTAATCCTTAGCAATTACAATAAAACAACCAAATGATTAAAATGAAATGTATATCGATAAAAACAAGATTTTGTCAAGCACTAGTTATCTTTTCATACGTCATAACACCCTCATACCATAACATAACTAAACGCCAAATTACTCTAAAACAACTGAAAGCTACATTAATTTAACTTCATTTGGGACCACATTCAATTATGAACTAAATATGTATTTGATCATATTTTAAACAAAATAATATAAACATAATTTTTTTGAAGGGTTAATTTCTTGAAAGCCATATATTTTCAACATTTCACTTAAAAGCCATAATTTTATTAATGTTTTTGAAAAAATCACTGACATTTTGAAAGTTTTGCGTTCTAGTCATTCTTGAGGGTTTGTTTCTTACTACGAAAGGTTCATTTCTTGATAGGAGACTCTATTGATAATCTCCTCGTTGACAGGGGCGGTTTAACCTATTTGGGGCTCTAAGCGAACCAAAAATTTGGGGCCCTTTGGGACATAATTTTTCTTTTCCTTTTAAGAACTACTATCACCAAGACAATAAAAAGATAACTTGAAGTAAATCAGTAATGGATTATAGATTGGAAATACCTACTTTGTCTGCTTGGCAAAGTGAATTCTTGACAGTTTTTAAGTCATGAAAACTGAAATTCGTTCTAACCATAAGGTCCAAACCTAATTTCAATATCCAAAAGTCCAAACATGATTACAAAATCCAAACGGTTGACACATTCAAAATTAAAATAAAATAAAATAAAATAAAATAAGCTCTATTAACCTTACACAACCCAAAATGTATCGTACATTTGAATCATAAAAAAGTTCCCCATCCATATTCCACATCCAAATCCAAATCATTGAATCAAAATACAAAATTTTCATTGAAAGTTTGGGTTTGCAACTTTGAGTATGATTTTGAGAATCCAGAAGCAAACAAAAAATTAGATTGATTAAAAGACACCATCAGATGACATTAACATCGAGGGTAATTTAACTAATATATTAGTAATGGAGAAATAGAGAATCAAAGGAAAAAGTGAAGAACATACCATTTCAAATAATCAGATTCAAGAATGGATTGATCAGTGATGGAGAATCGATTTTTTAACAATCATGATTCAAGAATTGATTTTTTGATTTTTGATCAAATCACGATCCAATAAACAAGAATCAATCACTTTTCAGACTTCAGAGCCACGAATAAGAAGAAAATCAAGAAGACAGAAGAGAAACAGTCGTTTAGAATTCAATTGGGAATGGGGGTGTGCGTGCGTGTCTGTGAGAATAGAGAATCCCGAATCGTCAGTCGTCCCTTAATTAATCGACATTTGGGTCAAGGTTAAGTGGGGCCCCTTAGAATTGGGGCCCTAAGCCCTTGCTTACTTTCATTCAATGTAAGGCCGGGCCTGCTCGTTGAGATAGTATGTATATAATGTAAGGTCGGACCTGCTCGTTGAGATAGTATCAATAAGTTTGAAACTACTGATACAAAGAAAATATATTTTTCTTTGGGATATCTCCAGAAAATTCCCAATATTTTGGGAAAATTTTTAATAAAGTTCTAAATTTTATTTTATAACAAAAAAGTCCTGACTTTTTCACATTTTGAATAGAAAAGCCCAAGAAATCGGCTGATTTATTCACTTTAGCCATTTTTGACCTGTTCAGCAGGTCATATGATGTAACATCCCGTTATTTTCTGTTTGTAAAGTCAACTCTAGTCAACCAAAGTCAAACGAGGGTCAACTAATGTCCTTTTTATTGTTTGGGTTTTTATTTAGGTTATAATAATAACCTTTACTTGTTAAAAATCCTTAAAATATCTACAATTGAAATTAGAAGGAAAATGCTTAAAAACCGAGAAACTTCGCATCTTATTCCTTCACTTCGGACCACAAACACTTCGGACCGCAAAGGGGTTTACGGTCGTACACTCCTCGGATCGTAAACCCTCGCAACCGTGAACGGCTTCGGCCGTAAACTCTCTGAACCTTATCGTCTCGGAAACCGAACCTTATCGCATTGGGGCACGTTCTCGATCGTAAACTCTAGCCGACCTCGGACCGTAAATGAGGTTCACGGCCGTAAACCCTCGTACCGTGAACCCTCGCATATATATATATATATATATATATATATATATATATATATATATATATATATATATAAATATAGATCCGGTAAGAAATTTTTTTTGGTAGGAAGGTAAGAAATTTTTTTCCTACATATTTTTTGACGACCAAATAAATGAATCACTAGATGATTCATTTATAGATGATTCACAAGAAAAAATTCCCCAAAAAACATCTTTATGATTCATTTTTAGTAAATTATAAAAATTCATTTTTATGACAATTTAGTGAATAACAACAAATCATTGTATAAATGAATCATCGAGATGTTTTTTTGAGAATTTTTTTCTTGTGAATCATCTTACAAATGAATCATCTAATGATTCATTTTGTTTGTTCGCGAAAAAAATATGTAGAAAAAAAACTTCTTACCTTCCTACCAAAAATTTCCTTCTTATTTGATCTTGACTATATATATATATATATATATATATATATATATATATATATCTATATATATATATGTTCCAACTAGTTTTTACTTCATTTCTTCACTTCCACTTGAGATTTCAAGCTTTTTCTCTCAAGTATCATCCACCAAGAACATCATATCTCCTCAAGAACACATCAAGATCATCTTTATTCATCATATTCAAGTGGTAAACACTAGTTCTTCACAAAATCTAACAGGTATCAATTCTCGATCTTGTTATCACTTTAAGAACACCCTTCCATCTTCATATACTAGGCTAAAATCCATTGATTTTTCTAGTTTTCACAAAGAACGCGAAGAACACGTGAAGAACACGAAAAACAAGCACCTCAAAACCTTTGAATCTTCTTAGAATCTGGTCTAGAATCATCAAGTGTTCTTCATTTCATCAAGAACACCTGGCCGTAAATCCTCCTGGCCATAAACTCCTGGCCGTAAACACATTTCAGCCTCCAATCTAGCTTCAAACACTTCAATTTGTAAGTTATACTTACAAATTAGTCTGGATTCTAATCATTCCTATGATTATTTTTAGCTAATTGGATGCATATATGCTATACAAATCACTACATATGACTTGTTTTCTTGCGGGATTTTACTCGTGGAACTAAGCATCCTATATCAAATCATCATTTGAATCACCCTCCAAAAGGTGAGTTCATACCCCCGTATTTTCATAGTTTTTATTGTTTTAGGGGAGGGGGGGGGAATACAAGTCTAACACAAAGAATTTGTGTTATAAACAAATGGTTTCAAATATCTTATCAAAAATGGATTTCAGTTATCATCAATTCAATTGGTTTTCAAAGATTATGTTAAAATGACATCAAGTCACCAAAAGTATTTCAAAATATTAAACTTTTTTTAAAATTTTTTATAAACTTATATTTTTCCCCAGAAATCATATATATATATATATATATATATATATATAAGATTTAAAAGGCTTAGGACTGATAACCCACTTTGGTTCCTTTTCCTTGTTTGGATGTGGGATTATAAGTATCGGTTATTTGTCCGAGTGTCATTTAAATTTTACTTATATATATATATATATATATATTCGTATATGTATATAAGTATAAAAGTTATTTCATTCAGTTCAAATACCCTTTGTAAAATGTTGAGCAAGGGGTTGCATTCATGAACAATAGTATCAATTCAGAAAGTACATATAAATTATAATAGGTATAATTTATGAATCATAGAACATTAATTCACGATTCAAGTATACTAAAGTACATTGTTTTACAAGAACAAAGGTTTGATTCAAAACTAATCAAGAGTATACATTTTCATATACTAATTCAGGGGTATACTGTCAATCATTCATTTCAGAATGATTGGGGTTTCAATAGCTATTATACATGTAACGTCTATATGCTTTTTATGAGTCATTTGATACAGGTTGTTTAATTCATTTAAACAATATAGTTAAAGTCCTGACATTATAACCAGAATCTCCAGTCAGGGATCGAAACAATGTGTGTATAGATATATATTGGGATTGACAACCCCGCACTCAGACT